TGAGGCCCAGAAATCAGGATTTTAAAAAGATTCCCAGGTGATTCTAATGTGCAGCCAAGGCTGAGAACCACTGCTCTAGGAGGTTCTGAGAATCAGGCTTTGGTTTGAAAGTAGGACTCTGCAAATGGTTCTTGGTTGCAGTATTTATTCGAGCCAGTTCTGTTAGGTTTTGTCAGTTCAGTGATGTTTTCATCCTCACTGGCCTAGCCAATCAGCCTGTCTGCTTAGTCCAAATCTGTACAATAAAACTAAACACCCTAAAAATCCACCTTAATAATTGCTCTTATCACGTAAGCATGCAAGACACACCCCTTGCATCTGTCCTTCAATTTATCCTTCAGATCAATGACCCTTAGCTTATGTGACGACTTCTTAATGATCGGTTGCACCACTCCTTAAGAACTGATTAGTGCCACACTTTCCACCCTGTTTTACTGCCCAAACACAAAAGGAAAGTGAGAAAATAAAAAACACTCAAATCTTGTGATTTTTCATCCACAGAAATTGTTGGGTCATTGCCTGGCTCTGATCCCAACACCCAGTCAGTGCTGCCTACACTCCTGGCTGGTTTCACAAAGGTGAGTTTGTTGTCCTTTTGTTCTTCAAATAGAAACAAGGCCTCAAAATTATTCCAACAACAAAAAAGACTGAACAGAGCAATCTCTCCTCTGCAGTACTTAGTGCTTTTGATAGGCAGTAGTTGATTACCCACTTTCCGTATCTGTATTCGTAAAACACAGAAAATGTATATACACTTTAACAGCTAATAGGTCAATTTTGAAAATGAAATGTCTTTTAATAAACACTGCCTTTATACTTATTCAAAGGGTGTGTATACTTTTTTAAGGGACACCCTAAAATTTAAAGTTTCCTTCAATGTAGTCAGATCTTTGTTTCAATTAGAGTCAAGATTTGCTTTGTTTTTGATAAGATAAACACATGTTCATAAACTGAAATACTTAAAGCAGAATATTTTATTTAACTTCCAGAAATAAACATAATTTATAAATTGGTTCTTAAGGTCTTATCTATGTACTGGTATTTATTTATGGGGATCTCATAAGTACAAAATAGCATCTTAGAAAGTAAAAATAATAAATTCAGTAATAGTTTTTATGTTTCATTTAAAGCTATGCTCATTTAATTTATGCCAAAAGTTGTCACTGGGGTATTCATAAATGAAAGTGCTGACTAAGCTTTATTGCCTCTTTAGAATTCATAAATTCAAACATGATAGACATAATTCAAAGTATTTCAGTTATTAGTTAACTCTGCATAGGCAGAGTCAATTAGCCACCCCAATAGAGTTCATATTACCACTGTATTGGTGCATGCATCCTGTTTAGGACATATTTCTCTATCAGAACCTATGTCAGAATCCACAGTAGATTCAAGTCAACTAAACTGACTTGCTTAAATTTAAATAAAAAATATATATATTATAGCCCTTCTCATATAAAAAAAAAAAAAGTCCCTTCTCCACATGTCTTTCTAAATTCATTCTCCAGGATGCTACTTTGAGTCCAGAACTTCCTCTTGGTCAACCCAGGCTCGAGACAGTGGACAGAGAAGGACACAGTCTACCTGGTGAGTTTTTCCTTCCCACAAAGTCTATGTTAGATAACAACATCCTCTTTGAGAAATCCATGTATGACACTACCTCAAAGACCAGTGATAAAGCCCCCCTTGACCCAGAGAAGCTTTCCTCACCCAGCAGTCCATTGACCCACCCTCCTCTGAAAAGGAGGACACCCTGTATGTCCTTCCCTCAGCTCTAGTCCCCAGGATCACAGAGAGCACTAGCACCCCTTTCCTCATGGACCTGGGAAGAGAAACTCAAACCAAAGCAGCCTCAACAGTTACCCACACAGAACAGCCATCTCTACTGGGCTTCAAATTTGAAAGTCCATCAGGACAAGGTAGGTCATAAGGCCCAAGTCCACAATGAGGGACTATGACAACACAGGATTAGGCCTTCACAATCAGTATATGGATTCCTACTTGCCACATACAGGCTGACCATTTGATACTGTCTGTTCTGCTACTTGTGTTTCTTTAGCACCGGTTAGATCATATGTAATTGATCCATAAGGGTGTCAGCAAACATTTAAATCTTCTTGATTCACTTCTGAATTTCCAAACATGTTCATTTTTGAGGCAATAGGGTCAAACATGCTCACAATTAAAGAGAAATCTTTAATAATATATGAAGATCTTTAAAAAACCCACCTGAAAATCCTGAAGAAGAGTCTATTTGGTACAAGAAGTAGCTGATTCAGTAGTTTCAGAAACCCCTATGCTTTCCACTTTATACAGTTCTGTGATGAAACCGTAAGTAAAGATGTCTCTAAGGAAACATGAACCCCACGATACAAGGTGGTTAAGGATACATTGTGGTTCGAAGTGCAAATGTCAGTGGAGATGTGTTATGGCTGATATTTTTTAATAGGATTGTTCCTGTCTTAGTTAGAGTTCTTCTTTACAAAAGTCTACAGATTTTGAGTGTTCCATCTCAATCCTATTCTCCTCATAAACCTGTATGCAATTAGTATGCAATTTTATGGAATACTACGTTTTTCACAAACACATACATGTCACAATAGCAGAACCACCTATACAGATTATATTTTATTTACATGATTACCAGTGAATACATGTTAACCAACATTTGTTACAAACCAATTCTGCAGTTAGTGGTTTAAAACAACAATAATTTATTTTTCCCATAAATCTGAAATGTGGGCAGGGACCAGTGGCAACAGCTCTTCTCTGCCCCGTTATGTAAATGAGAGTACCTCCACTGATGTTGAAGATCTTTTTCCAGAATGTTCTCTACTTGGCTGGCAAATCAGTGCTCAGCCAGAGCTGTTGGCAGGGCTCTCATTTCTGCTCTATCTAGGCCTCTCCCAGGGGCTGCTTGGGCTTCCTCACAGCATCACAGCTGGATTCATAAAGTCAGTGTTGCAAGAGACAGACAGCTGTCACTCTCTTAAGGGCCAAGAAATAGTGTCACTTGCTCACTTTCTCGTGACGAAGCAGCCAGGGAGCCCATCTTGATTCAAGAGGAGGGAACACAGAACTTATCTCTTGATGGGAGAGCTATCAAAGAATTTATGGCCAATTTTAATCAACCACATTTCACATCAACCACCACTATATTGATTTTTAAATCATTTGAAAGTTAGTTTGATAAAACAAAATTAATCTTTTGGTGAAATAATTGATATGAAGTGCTCACTGGATATAATAACAATATTATATCATAGAAACTTATTATAAGATCAGCATTTCAGATAGATTCATAAAAATAATAGTATATCTATGATGAAAGTATTGTATTTTCAAAATTGCTTTACTGTTCTCATTTTATGTATACATTCCTTTTATTCATGAATATAGCATAGATGTAATCTAGTTAAGCTACTGTGTTTCACAGATGAGAAAACCAAGCCTAGAGATGTGAAGTCCTTGCTCAAGGTCACACTACAGCTGGTTGCAAAACCAAGGTCATTCAAGTTTCCTCCACCTATTATACTATGTTTGGCTTAGTATT